GACAGGTAAACGTAGAGAGCTGGCTGACATGATGCAGAGAAGGAAGGTAGATGTTTTATGTGCCCAAAAGACCAAGTGGAAGGGCAGCCAGGCTTGCAGCATTGGAGCAGGGTTCAAACTGTTTTACCATGGTGTGGATAGAAAGAGAAATGGAGCAGGGGTGGTCCTGAAGGAGGAGTTAGCAAAGAATGTAGTAGAGGTGAAACGGGTGATAGGGTGATGTGTCTGAAGGTAGAAATAGAAAGTCTGATGCTGAATGTTGTCAGTGGTTTTACTCCACAGGTTGGATATGATGTGAAGGAGAAAGACAAATTGTGGAAGGATCTGGATGAAGTGATAGAGAGTATTCCCAGAGATGAGAGTGGTGATCAGAGCAGACCTGAATGGACATGTTGGTGAAGGAAACAGAGAGGATGAGGAAGTGATGGTAGGTCTGGTGTCAAGGAAAGAAACCAGGAAGGACAGATGGTGGTTGATTTTGTCAAAAGAATGGAAATGGCTGTAGTCAACACTTATTTCCAAAAGAGGGAGAAACATAGTGACCTATAAGAGTGGAGGAAGGAGTACGCAGGTAGACTACATTCTGTGTAGAAGAGAAAACTTGAGGGAGATTGGAGACTGTAAGGTTGTGGCAGGGGAGGGCATGGCCAGACAGCATTGGATGGTTGTGTGTAGAATGACTGTTGTTGTGAAGAATAGAAAAAGATTAAAATCAGAGAAGAAGACCAAATGGTGGAAGATGAAGAAGGAAGAATGTTGTGAGTAGTTCAGAGAGGAGTTGTTAAAGGCTCTGGGTGGTAAGAAAGACCGGACCACTACAGCAACAGTAATTAGAGAGACAGGTAGGAAGGTACTTGGTGTGTCATCTGGACAGAGAATAGATGATAAGGAAACCTGGTGGTGGAATAGTGAAGTGCAGGAAGCTATTCAGAGAAAGAGGTTAGCCAAGAAGAAATATAACTGAGGGAGGACTGAAGAGAGGAGACAGGAATATAAAGCTAAGGCCAAGCAGAAGACATATGATGAGTTGTACGGGAGGCTGAACACTAAAAGAGGGTGAGGACTTGTACCAATTTGTGAGACAGAGGGATCAGGCTTGAAAGAATGTGCAATAAGTTAGGCTTGTGAAAGATAGGGATAGTAATGTTCGCAATCAGTCAATCAATCAACCAATCAATCAGTTTGTCAATCAATCAACTTTATTTTTTATTAATTTATTAAGTAGATTTGTTTACAGTGAAGTGAATTAGCTTTCTTTCCAGAACCATGTGGCATAGACATACAGTAAATGCAAATGTGATGTAAAATCATCAGGTGTTCAATATTTTATGATAAACAAAAACTCCTCTAACTTGAAAACAACATCATTATATCAAGATTAAAAAGAGACAAGATACAATCCTATAATGAGATAAAACAAGATAGAATGATAAAAGAATAATTTCAAAAATGTAAATTGAATTTAAGAAAATTATCGCATTAAGAACAAAGTTGGTTTTAAAACATGGTTTTACGTTTTGGCGCCAAGTATCCGAGTCCTAACAGGCGTATATTTGCATCTGTACCAAATATATTTTTCTCTGTTGTATCAAATACTTATTTCATCGGAAAAAAATGCTAATGAATTATTTACAAATCATACAACGTGATTTTCTGCATTTATTTTCTTAGATTCTGTCTCACAGGTGGTGTACCTACAATAACCATTACAGACATCTCCATTCTTTGTAGGTGAGAAAACGTGCTAAATGGGCAGATACCTATTTCTACTATTTTATTTCAAATATCATATCTGTTTTCCTGTTGCAGTGCCAAAAAAAGCTTAATTTACATAAATTAATGGTGGGCAGTACATTTACACATAAAAATCCACAAACAGACACGCCAGTCAGAGATCCCAGGAATAATCAGATACATCATGAGTTCATCAGTATGAGAGTAGTCGTCCATACTTCAAAGTTGCCTGTGTGTGTGGTTAAGAGGAACCAAGAAGCCCTAGGCAAACATTTTCATCTAATCTCACATATAGTTATGTGCATAACATTTGAGCTCCGTGGAGAAAGATGAAGTTGCAGAAAAAAAGACAAAAATCAGGATAACTGAGAAACCAAAATATTTTTTTAAGCCAAATCATACGAGACTATTTGCACAGCTAATAAATATTTGCAGTTGCAGATATTTGGGTTGGAAAGATTTTGTACACATAATCATTTCTGTCTTATGGTTTTGCCAGCTATGTTACAACTCCAAGTCTAATTGTGCTCCGTTAGTGGTGAACGTAGAGTAAGTGGAAGCCAGGTAAACCACAACAAATCTGAGAGCTCACATTTAGTTTTCCCTGGTGTCAGGTGGGCTTTACTTGTGTTTATAGGCAAATTGAATAAAAAAAAAAAACATTACCACTAGACTTTTTTACTTGTGTTTAACACCACTCATCTAAAGGAGGTTTTAATGAAATTTCAACTGTAATGCACTTCATGTGTTTAAATGCAAATTAGCAATGCAAGAATTAACATCTGGAACTGTTCACTATGTACTGGAAATTGTGTATAAAGAACATGAATCAAATCTTTCTGAAGGACAAATAAAATGAATATACCTGTTCTCGTTGTTGTCAGCATATCAATAAATGCAAATGATAAAATGATTCTGGGCAAAGTGTGATCTATTTTTTGGACCTGACGCTGTGCATGAAGGTGCATTAAAGTTGAAACGTCAATAAAACCCCACAGCTGAATTTCCCCAAACTTGGTGAGAAACATGCTTTAAATGTGTGGAATCAAAGAGAAAATCTAAGTGAAATGTTTCTGCATTTCTGCATCAGGATAAGTGAAATGTTGCTTTTTTGTACGTTCGTCACCTTTAAACAGAGGCTATACACATTGGCGCAAATACAGCCCAGCCGTAAAGGTTGTTGTAATCGAGCACTCTGGATATGAGCGAGAGAGAATAAGGTTCCCAAATCTGGGGAAGGCTTTACCGTAGTGGTGGTGGTGGGGTGGTAGTGGTGGGGGAGGGGGTCAGGATGTGTGAGAGAAGTGGAACGTGCTCTATTCACACAAGGTGAGCTGTAGGTCAGGTTACTTCTTGTGGTGCCATGCTCACTAAAATAGTTATTGAATCAAGTTCAGAACATCAAAAGTTCATGCTCAGTCAGGTAAAAAATCCAACAAAGTTCATTCAGGTCCTTTGGACAGTTTCTTTGTGTTGAAACGTTTTGTCCTTCATTCAAAGGATTTCTTCAGTCCAAGGAGCAACAACAAACTCAGTCCTATAAGCAGCACACTTACATTCTGGACCAACCAGTTTGATGGTGATAATATCGTTTCTGGAGACCACCCTTTCCCCTGTGGACTCCTCCGAGGCAGCCATGGTCAAAGTGGTTCAAAACATCAAAGTTCATGCTCAAAAATCCAGGTAAAAATTCCAACAAAGATCAGTCAGCTCATCTGGACGGCTTCTTTGTGTTGAAACATTTCACTGGCCCACTATGTGAGTGTGCTGCCTGTGGGATTAAGTTTGTTGTGGCTCCTAAGACTGATGAAGTCCTTTGGATGCAAGATGAAACGTTTCAAACACACACACACACACACAACATCCAGAGGACCTGACTTAACTTTGTTGGATTGAATCAAGTATTTACTTACAGTATGTAGGTAAATGTAGATGTTTGACAACCCATTATACTACACCAGCCCTGTGATGGACTTGTGACCCGTCCAGGGTGTACCCCGCCCCTCGCACTGTGATTGCTGGACATGGGCACCAGCGACCCCCGTGACCCAAAATGGAAAAGGGGGGAAAAGATAATGGATGGATATACTACATGAAATTGCAGGAAACGGCATCTTCTTTGTTCAAAACTTGTGGGAATGGACCCCCCAGATCCCCCAAGTGTGCCCCTCCCACCACATTGCAAATATGGGACTTCTGACACCAATGCCTCTGTCCCTTTACTTTTTATGTTAGCTCACTAAAAGTTTTTTCTGCATTTACATTTGAGGGATGCTGCAAAAACCACCAACAGGGGGCTGCAACTTCCCACAGAAGATGTGAGTCCTTTGGGATGCAACAAACTTATTGAATGAACTGACTGTGTGTGTGTGTGTGGGGGGGGGGGGGGGCACTGACTGAAGAATGTTGCTGCTCCGTGAGCAGATAACAGCTGACCCTTGTTGGCTTGACCGAGAACATGGTATCAGTGGACGATGGACCAAACTGCAGCAGCTTGGTGGTCAAACCAGTTCAGTACAAGTTAAACATGAAACATACAGAGAAAAAATAGAATGACATACTTTTATTTATTAATACGAAAAAAACATCCATGGCAACCACCGATCGATTCACGTTTGACTAAAAACAAAGCATCATTTTCACCAACAGGATCTGGAAGATGGCTCATTAGGTCCAAGTTTCCAGCTTCAACTCTCAGCAAAGTCAACGTTTTGTCTTTAAATGTGCACTACATAGACATTTCTTCAGAGTTCTTTATACAATAAAGCAGTTGTTTCGTCACAGCTCCAGGCTGTTCGTCGTCTTATTGGGTTTAGCAGGGATCAAATTTTGACTCAGTCCTTCTGATTCATTCAGTGCCGTCACAGATCCCAAAACATCACCTTAAATAAATCCTGTGCAGCTGAACAGATTAAAGTGAAACCATGTAAGCAGGATACGAGGAGTGTTTACATTATGAACAGCGGTAAACAGTGACCTGCTGTCATGTCAGCCATCTCTCCTGTAACCACTCCATCTGTATCTAATTGAACAAAAGCTAATGGGTTTACAGACAACACTGTCTGAACTGTCTATAATTACTACATTTTACTAATTAACACAACAACCCTTTGTGAGGTCAGACTCCATTTGTCATTTTTTATTGATGTGCTGTGTGTTTTCACCCATGATTATGCTTAATTAAGTATTTCTTTTACTTTTTGTAATTTGGGTCAGCAAAACTAATTGCTGTGATTGACCAAATTGTTATTTCTGCTCCTCTTCAGGCTCTACCAGGAGACAGAAGAGCCAAACACAAAGAGAAGAGCAAACAGTACGAAGGAGACCAGCTGTGAAATCTGGCATGAGTCTCTGCAGCATCCCAGCAGATGAACTAGAAGTTCCCTAAGAAGTTTAGTTTGGAAGATAAACCAAGATCCCACCTCAGTGGGAGCACAGCTTCACTGAGAGGAGCCTCGAAGGGGAAGGTGGAATAAAGTTCACCGTTGCTCAGGTGGAACAAGATGGCAGTGTTGGCAGAGAGGCGTCAGGGTTTTGGTCTGCTGAGGGCCCTCGTGGTGTTTCTGGGAGTTTCTGTGCTCTGCAACGTTGCACTGGGAACAAGGAAAGGACACTCTTCTCTGGACCACAGGAGCCACAGACACAGACATCCAGGTAAGACACAACACTTTCAGTAGCACGCATCATTAAACCCTGCAGGTGGTTGTACCGTATCTCTGCTCCAAGTGTGTTCTCTGTGATGGTGACACATTTTGTGTCTTAGAATAATAACAAAGTACTGGACAATCAAAAACCATTGTAGTATTTTTTACAATTCCTAAGTGGAAATTTTAAAAAAGTATATTTGTATCCCCCTCTGGTGAAAAATAATGTTTTTATTGGATTGTGTTCATTTCTTTCTTTCTTTTTTGTATTTTTGTAGCATTAGTAAAATACCTCATGGCTCACCAAACAGATTTTAAAGGGACACTCAACTAATCATTGGATGCAGCAGATCAAATTTTGGAGTCTGTCCATTGCAAGATGGCTGCCACAGCATGTTAGCCTTCACACAAATGTGTGTGTATATATATA